TCTTCCCTCGTTCTCGTTGTCACAATCTTCCTTTTCACATTAGAAAAACGCGAAAAGAAAATGATATCAATTTTAAGTTAGATTGTATTTTTATTAAAACTATTTATTTTTATTTTTAATCTAGTATCTCTCACTAAGAGCTGTTTCCAATTAATTTCCGGTCGATTAATTAACTTAATCGCGATCGTGAGAATAATAATAAAATAAATTGGCAATGAGAAAGAGAGATGAAACGGCAGCGATTACTCACTGAACCAAACATTTGAGGCGAAAGCAAAACGCGGTGCAGAGTATATGACTATTCAATGTGAATATAGAATATTAAATGTTTATGTATGCTCAATTCAATGTATTTAATAAAGTTGGTAACTAAGATCTAACCGGTTGAGAATGCACATAAACTCTCCAAAATTTGGTTCACAAATCTCAAGAGATAATTAAAAAATAGATTCGATGAAAATCTTGTTCGAAAGAAGAGTTTGATCATTGGGTTAAATCAAGGAAAAAAAAAGTTGGTAATTAATATATATTGGAATATATTTTTATAAAAATTGAAAATAAAATACATTGAAATTTCATGGTTCGAATCATATTTATGCGTGGAAATGAATGCTGTTATCCAATATATAAATAGGGAAAAAGTCTTCAAAAAGTCTAAGAAATCAATGCCACCTACTTGATGAAAGAGAATATAGATCCATACAGAGACCTATGATGTGATAAATAAATTGTGTCAAATAACTTGCTTTTAGTTTCAAAATACTAAAATAATTTATATTCTATTTATTTTAAAAATATTTATATAGGTTTAAAAATTATGAATATCTTTTTTTTTTATCACGGTTTCGATATTGGTATTTTGAGTTTAGTTTTTTTATAAAAAAAATTGTGTGCATATATATGTATGTATATATATATTGGTATTTCAGACATATTTTACAAATATGGATATAATATATATTTGTATCTTGTTTAATTAAAATATTGTTATATTTCCGACATATTTTAATTAAACAAGATACAAACACACATTATGACGAACTTCGATTATGCCCAATGGCACGTACCATTCTCCTATTCCAAATAAATAAATACTCGAAGACAAGGGAGACAAGAAGTCAATTCCATGATGAAGTTATAATATTATATAATATACAATCATTCAATCTTTTGAATATATAAATATTAAAAAGGTAAGTAATTTGAATGTGTTAAATCATTATATATTAATCGAAAGAGTGAGAGCAAATCAATACGATCCACTTGGAAATCAAAATCAAACTTATTGAAGCTTCTTCTAAGTTGATAACCCAAAGTGTTGTTCATCCTAACATGAATTAACTTTTCCATCAGAATTCCGTGTGACAAAGAAGTAACCTTTTCCACACCACAATAATACCCAATTGTATTTTCGGACTATCATGATCTCTTGAATACATATAAAAATCTATGGTTACAGGTTAAGGCGCTTCCAATGCTAAAAATGTAAAATCATATGATTATTCTACAACTACCATATTCAGTGGTTTTCTTCTTCTTTTGGGTTCTTAAACCTAACAAATCTTGGATGCTGCAACAATCTGTACATAACCCCCCCCCCCCCCCCC